GTGTTCAACACACAAAAACACCCAACACTGAACAGTCAATATTGCCTAGTTATTCTCCTCTTCCAGGTCCCCCTCGGGTTCCTCAGTTGAAGGCAACAAAAACACGGGCTAAACACTTCTTTGCAGCGCATTCAAACTGAGAAACACCAGAATGTCCAACATTTAAAAAACGATTCACTTCAGTGTTACCCAGGAAATTGTAAAAACCGATGCTATGAATTGGTTCCGAGACTCTGTTTCTGTTCAAACTTTCCCCTGGGGTCAGAGTTTGTTCTGAACAGACCCGCATGGACTGTCCTCTCCATTCTATCCCCCAGGGAAAGACATGGGGGAAATCTACCAGCTATCAGCTGAATGGTGTCATCCATGCTGCACAAATTTTCTCACGGCTCAGAACAGGGCTGCTGGTTCTATGGCTGCCTCAGAAGTAAGGACACACGTGTCTCCCATCTACCCAACCCACAAGGTAACTGCCCCAGCAGATCCCCCTGGTGTAAGACCCATGGGTGATTTGCTAAACGCCAGGGCTGTTAACATGGGGAAGGGAGTGCACGGAGCAGACAGGACACTACTGGGTTTGTTTGGGGGTTCAGTTTTTTGGTGAAGGGTCGGGGTGTTATGTGGGGCCACCTAGATCCCACCAAGATGGGAGTTTTAGACTCACGAAAGTGACGGTCATGTTGGAAAATGACCCTGGTTCCCACCAAAGACAGGGACTGACACTGCTTGAACGCACTGCTCTTGTCTCAGCTCCAGTTTACTCAGAACAGGCGGGGCCAATCCAGCCAATCAAAGAGGGCTAGGCTACAGCTGGGCCTATAAAGGGCTGAGAACAGGTAATGAACTGAGACGGGCAGTGCTGGGGGGAGGGAAAGTCGCTGTGGAGTAGAGCGAGTGCCTGTGGTGACTAGTGACTTTTACAATACAAAATGTCTCTTCCTGTAAATCTCTGATACAAATGGATAGTCTCATGAATCTAACCACACCTGGTTGGTTTGCTGGTCTCTTTCCTCTGTTTGGAGATACCCTGTTTATCAACCACTCCTGCCATGTCTGGTTTAAACACCTTATAGTCACAGGCTTTAAAGCATAATATCGGTGAATGTCCATAATACATAAGTCTTTGTCCCACTGAACTGAACAGCAGTTTTATCATTTCTTTCAATGGGACCAGGATTTGACCCCTGCAATGCGGTGCTCCTGCAGCAATGAGATTCTGTTATAATCCTAAAGGAAACGTTCCAAAATCCAGTTCCCAGATCCATGCTGTGAGAGGAGGTAGTTTGTGTCTATTAAATACCAGCTCATTCTTCAGTGAAACTCAGAGCCTGCGGAGCTGGGTGTTAGATCCCGGAGCCCAGGCATTTCACACACAAGCCGAGCCAGGGTAGGAAAGGGACGAATCTCGCCCTAATACAAACAGCCCCGGTAGGAAACTCTGACCCTGCAAAATGATCAGGTGAAACAAAACACAGAAGCCACATTCAGATAAACTGAGTAATAGAGATCCCACCACTCGCCCCAGGCCTGCTGTACGTGTATCTGAGGAGTCACAGGGGTTCCCAAGTCCTAGCTATTCCGAAATGTAAATATTAGCCCAGGAGGTGAGTTGGAGGGACACAGTAACACGCAGCCACACTCACAAATGGCAAACTGGGCTGTATGTAGCTGGGACCTGTCATGAATCTCTCCTTCAACTCCAGAGACTGGAGAGAATTCAATGGGATGCAAGAAGCAGCTGGATTTTCCCCAGGTGCTGTAGGGCAGTATAGCAACATGGTGCAGCTATGACTCTGGGCACAAGAGGGCGCTGTCTCCCTGAACTGTTGGTAATGAAATACAGTAACTGTTTAATACACATTTACCTTCCAGGGTGTGTGCAACAGGCTGTGGTGTTCAGAGAGCTGCATCTGTTCAAACCCCTCCTGCAGACACACTGGGTGGGGGAGGGATGAGACAGAGGGCTGAGGGAACGCGGATGTATTGACTTATGTTGTAGATTTATGAACCACTTCTCAGTGTAACGGCTGATTTATATATACACGTAACCCAGACAAGTCTGGAAACAACCGTTCCATCAGCATGTGAAGAATAGGTGAAATTAGGAAGGGGTGAGCCTGTTGAATGATCAAATTAAACAAGGCACCAGGGGGTTAATTCACCCCTCAGCCAATACAGAGCTACTAAGTGTGGGGATATGAACCATACGGACCAGAGTTCAGATTGCCTTAGATCCCATGGGGAAAAGCCCCTTACAAATATCAAAGGCAGAGCAAGTCAGAGGCAGCACATGGTGTCTGGGGCTGAGAGGAGCCTTTCACACATGAAGGAAACGTGGTTCAGTTTCTTTTGATATAAGAAGATCCAGGACATGTTAGGAAAGCGTGAGCCTGCCAATGATTGTGTTAACGGAGACCAAAGCTTCCACTGAGTAGAAAGAATCCCTTCCCCTGCATGCCCTCTCCTCTCCAGAACCCAGCCCTGTACTTCTCTGGTGAATTACGGGCGGTTCCTGAGTCCATGATGTCTCTAGATATAAAATATTAACACGCAAGGGGAGTCTAAAGACAGCCACATTCCTAAGGCTAAACCTGAGCTTCGTGCAGCTGGGAACTAGAATGAATCTCTCCTTAAACTAAAGAGACTGGAGAGAATAAAATGTGATTTGAGATATACCTGGATTTTCCCCATTTACTCTTCTGCATGTGGTTCAGTTCTGACTGGGCACCAGGGGGAGCTGTCACACTACACTTGTGTTGTAAATAGTTTCCAGGGCATAAAGTAATGGTTTAGCACGCATTTGTCTTCAAGAGTCTGGTGGTGTTTGAACACCTGCGTCCTTTCAGATCCCCCATTCAGACCGAGTGGTGGGGGAGGAGGAGACACAGGGGTCCGAGGCACCCAAATGTACTGATTTACTTTGTAGATTCATGAACCATTTCTCAGCATAATTGCTGGGTATGTATTTGCAAAGTGTTTTCTTAATTACATTTCAATTAATTGATATTACATTTAATGCTGAACATCTCTGCAAAATGTTGCACAGCAATGTCCATCGGAGGTGGCTGCATCACTGTGATTATTACGTATCTGTATTTCTGTAGCCCCTGGGAGGACAGGTCACGGCCCAGGTCCCCGTTGTGCTGGGCTCTGTACAAACACAGAACACAGAGACGGTCCCGGCTAAGGAGGGAACAATCTCAGTATGAGACAAGAGACAACAGGGGGCGACAGACCGGCCTGTGGGTGGCAGAAGACAGCAATGAGACAATCCTGGCAGCGGGATGGGAAGGGTCTCAGCGCACCCATGGCCTCACTGCTGTCAGTTTGTTCGTAGGCATCATGGCAAAGGGGAGCTGGAGGGGGGGTGGCAGGAGGGGAATGAGTTAGTTCTGGGGGTGTTCCCAGGGCGCGTGTCCACGCGAGGGGCAGCATGGGGGAAGCTGGCCCGGCTGCACTGCAGTGGTGGCGGCAGTGACCCCTCTCCATGTGCACCTGATAGAAAATATCTGTGTGCCCAGCGATGCAAAGCTCGTCCATTGCTCTCTACACGTCAGACGTGCTGCGCTAACCTTACGCTAACGACCCCTCCCAGCAGCCCCGTAACGGCCGTTCACAGAGTAAAGGCCAAATTCAGAGCTGAGCACCCCTAGCTGTACCCACATGGAACTGACACCCCCTTCCACCCCCCCACTGGATTTGGCCCAGTGAGGCTGACTCCGCGGGAATGATCCAAGTTTGTTTCTCTGTCACTGTGAGGGGCCAGGAGGACAGGGGAGTAGCTAGAAAAGCCAGGGACAAGGGGCCACAGGGAGGTGCTGTAGCATCATTCTCCATTCAGTGTGGCTCACACTTCCCCGTCTGTCCAGAACATAGCGCAGATACCAAGGACAGGACTTAGAACCCGATTTGTAAAGGGATTTAGACGCCTAAAGATGTCGCTCGGCACCTTTAAAAATCTGCCCCTTAGTCCTTTGGCTCAAGATATCGAGTCTCCTGCTTTAGCTGTAGAGTTCTCCTGTTCGATCCCTGGGGGATGATCTAGCTGACAGTCGTTACAGAGTGTTTGGCACCATGTAATGTTATGTTGGGATCAATGCAGATAGGCTGTAGGCAGCAGCTGCAACTAAGGGCTAGTCTACACTTACCGGTTAGTTCGACGGCTGCGGATCGAAGTTCCGAGTTCGATTTATCGCGTCTGGTCTGGACGCGATAAATCGAACCAGGAAGTGATCCCCGTCGACTGCGGTACTCCAGCTCAACGAGAGGAGTACCACGAAGTCGACGGGGAGCCTGCCTGCCGCGTGTGGACCGCATCTGAACCGCGGTAAGGTCGAAGTAAGGTATGTCGAATTCAGCTACGTTATTCACGTAGCTGAATTTGCGTACCTTACTTCGATTTGGGGGGTAAGTGTAGACCAGCCCTAAGAAATTATTTGGTCAGAGAGACGAAGTAGTGACCAGATTTATTCTGCTTCTTGCTCAACTTGTAAAACTGTGATTCCCCACAACTAAATAAACATTTCTCCCAAGTCGAATACCCAGTTAGAGAGAACTTGTCAGTCTGTGTGATAGCACCATCCGGTTGTGTTAAATATTATTCAAGGAGTAAGTTATCATATTGCCCTTTGTATTAAAATCAATAACAGCAAAAACCTGTTTCAATTTGAACTTGAAATAATAACTGAAAAAGTACAATTTTATGGGGGATACTTTCTTTAAAAAAACCTCTTATTTAAAATAAAGCCTAAATTTGAGGTTACATTTGACATGTGAGCAGCCAATGAACAGGGAGCTGATTTGCATGAAAGGGCCGTTCCTTCTTTCTTCTGTCATATGGGACTTTAGAGAGCGATTCTGCCCGGCCAATCTGCAGGGCTCAGCTTCGGTATGAGATACCATCAGCATCACGCTGATTTGCATGAAGGGGCCGTTCTCCAGCTCTGGGGGTTTAAGAGAGAATGGGAGGGTGCCAGCCACAGACCCGTTTGCCTCAGGAAGCCGAGCTCGTCTGGATTCCCCACCATGGCCTGGGCCCCTCTGCTCCTCACGCTGCTCACTTACTGCTCAGGTGAGGGAATTGTTTGATTTAGTGGTAAAAATATGAAGGACACTTGCAGGTGGGGAGGTTTGTCTGTGAGGATCCAGAGTACTTGTGCTGAGTGTGTTTGTAATGTTGATTTCAGGGGTCAGTTCGCAGCCTGTGGTGACTCAGGAGCCCTCGATGTCGGTGACCCCAGGAGGGGCTGTCACTCTGTCCTGCAGCCTGAGCACTGGAGCCATCACCACCAGCAACCATCCAGCCTGGTTCCAGCAGAAACCAGGCTCTGCTCTTCGGCAGCTTACATACACCACCAATACCAGACTCTCCGGAATCCCTGCCCGGTTCTCTGCGTCCATATCCGGTAACAACGCTGCCCTGACCATCACCGGTGTCCAGGCAGAGGATGAGGCTGACTATTACTGTATTGTTTTAGCTAGTAGTGTGTATCACAGTGGTCCAGCCAGATGGGGAACTGAGACAAAAACCTCTCCATTCTTCATGCCCTGCTCCAACGTGGGCTCTGTACTGGCTGCACAGTTTGGTTCTTGCCTGCAATAGATGAGACACTGATTGCTCCTCCTTAGGAATTTCAACCCCCGCTTGCTGTCAGCAGGGGGCGCTGCTCCACCCACTCCCATTTCACTCTGTCTGCGGGAGATGGCAGCTGCACTGGGTCTCTGCAAAGGGAGCAGCTTTTCCTGCCTTATAGATCCCTGTGCTACAGACCCACCACTACCTGGGTCAAACTAGGAGCAGACGGCCACATGCTCCTGGGGTACAGAGACACGTCTCCCCTAACACAGTTCTCCTGTGTTACCCCACCAGCTAGACAACACCCTGAATGGCCTGGAAGTTAGAGAAAACGTAAAAAAGACCTCTCAGATCCTTTAGTCCATTCCAGTTGCCAGGGCTGGATGAAGTCTCCAGATACAGGATGTAGCAGATAATAGATGATATCAAAATCTCTCCTCCCTAGAATCTGCTCCCTGCCCCCATCCCAGCTGCTTTGCACCTTCCCCGGTCCCCTCCAGAAGCTCATTGGTGCCTCCATGGCCCCTGCTCCTCCTGGGCCCCGCCGTCCAGCAAGCCACTGGCCAGCACAATGTTTCCGAGCTCTGGTAACATGATGGCTGGAGCCTGACACAAACTCCTTAGACAAGGCTGTGACATCCTGTGCCCCAAAGCGACACCCCGGCACCCCCACATTCACCACGGTGATATAATTATCGTGTGTTTTGTACAAAGTATGTTAGTGAGGCATCATTCTAAAAGCCTTAATCTGTTGAACATGGATATCCTGTGAAGTTGTATGTGCTAGCAATAGGGTTTTGACCGGAACGCCCAGTCGAAAAGGGACCCTGGCGGCTCTGGTCAGCACCATTGACCAGGCCATTAAATGTCCGGTTGGCGCCACAGGCAGGCTCCCTACCCGGCTCCACACGGCTCCTGGAAGCAGCGACATCTCCCTCCGGCTCCTAGGTGGAGGGATGGCCACAAGGGCTCCGCGTGCTGCCCCCACCCCGAGTGCCAGCTCAACAGCTCCCATTGGCCAATGCAAGTTGAGGGGGCAGTGCCTGCAGGCACAGGCAGCACACAGGGCCACGTGGTTGTGCCTCTGTCTAGGAGCCGGAGGGAAATGTTGCTGCTTCCCAGGAGCCGCCTGAGGTAAGTGTCATCCGGAGCCAGTTCCCCATACCCACTCCCACGCCCCAACTCCCTGCCCCAGCCCTGAGCCCCCTCCTGCACCCCAAACCCCGACCCCACCCCAGAGCCCACACCCCGAGCTGGAGTCCTCACTCCCTCTCACACCACAAGCCCCTGCCCCAGCCCAAAAATAAGCAAGTGAATGAGGGTGGGGGTGAGTGAGCGATGGAGGGAGGGGGGATGGAGTGAGCGTGGGTGGGCCCTCGGAGAAGGGGCGGGGCAGGGGGCCGGGCAAGGGTGTTCGGTTTTCTGGAAATAGAAAGTTGCCCCCCCAGCTATCATTGTATGTGAAGTTTGCTGTGTATGTGCTACTGAAACATGTGCGGTTGGGAACACCCACAGGCAGCCTTTCAGGTATACCACTAAAAAGGCCAAACAATATTGATGGCCTATTGAGGAAATACACACTCACAAGGATTACCCCAGGCAGTCCCCTTACCATGCCTCCCTATTTTCCCGGACATGTTCGGCTTTTTGGAAATTCCTCCCGGACGGGGATTTGAGGACCAAAAAGCCGGACATGTCCAGGAAAATCCGGACGTATGGTAACCCTAAAGAAGGAAGCTTGAGAGACTGTTTATACTATCAGTGAGACACTGCTTGAGACAAATCCTATCTAGTGTATAAGACTTAGATTGGGGTTTTGTTTATTTGCTAGGTAATCTATTTCGGTCAGTTTGCGATCACTTATAACCACTTATAGTCTATCATTTGTAGTTAATAAATCTAGTTTATATTTTACACCTAAAACAGTGTGGTTTGAGGGAAGTAATTGGGAAAAATCTCAGCTCAGTCAACAAAGTTTTTGTGCATATTCCTCGTCACATGGAGAGAGGGGTGAACTGGGTAATTGTAATAAATTCATACTGGTCGGGTTTTTGACCAGGGCAGGACAGTAGAGCTGTGGGGTCCTAGGCTGGGGAGCTGAGGGTATTTTGGCTGGAGCCCCCTCTGTTGCTGGTTCATGCAGTGGCTGGCCAGAAAATTCATGAATAGAGCTGGGTGTGGTCCCTGCCTGGGGAGGCTGGTGTGAGTGCAAGCTTGGAGGACTTTGCAGCTTATCACAATGTCACAGTGTGAAGGGATCCTAAATTGGTGAGACACAGGGCTCAGCTGTACCCCAGTTCTACATGGCACCCAGGGGGAACCTGTCACGAAGACAGTGAAGCTTGTAACCTTAGAACCATTCCTATGGGTCTTGCCTACTGGAGCCCAAAGCTAGTAGGTCTGGAGGTTTTGACCAACTTCTGCTGATGAGGCCGCGGCGAGGGCGGAGGCCGACATGGAAGCTGATAATGCGGAACCACCCGACCAAAGGGTTAGTTCAAGGGGACTGTTCTGAGGGAAGCAAGGTGACAGAGACCCGGAGCATGGCATGGCACGGGGGACATATGGGGAGATAAATTTGTAGGCAATCTGGTACCTAACAGAATAGAGGAGGTAGCAGCACCTCAGTTATCACGGGACAAGCCCAGAAATCAGTCAGGAGAACACGGTTGTGTGTTTCCAGTGTGGTCAGACGGGTCGGCTAAGAAAGGACTGTCCACTCCTGGGGTTCGGGTATTTGCATTGCTACCACAGCCAAGTCTGTGGCTTGGGATGTTCCCTCAGTAGGGGGTGCACTCCACTGCTAACGTGGCTGGCCGTGAAATGAGAGAACTGATTGACTCCAGGTGCGGGCAGGCGTTAGTTTGCGGGTGCAGACTCCCAGCTGTCAGACTAGATTGCCAATTGCTGGTGCACATTTTGGGTGCACATGGTGAGACAGGAGTGTGCCCAGCAGTGGAGCTAGACATAGAAATACAAGATGAGATGAACAAGTTGAGGGTCAGCCTAGTAAGAGACCTCCCCGGCTTGTAATTGTTGGCAGAGACTAGCCTCATGTCCCAGCCCTGTTACAAGATGGGTACTGCTGGGATGAGCTGACCATAGGACAACCCTCACTTGGACATGGGCTCTTGGGCCAGAGGCAAGGCCGAGGTACGTGGACTGGACAGCCTGGGGCAGTGGGTCCAGAGAGTTGGGCAGGAGACGCCAAATCAACTACAGGCCCTGGAGACACAGTTACAGGAGGCAAACCTAGTGCTGGGGGAGATAGTGCTTTATGGAACCTCACTGTGGTACCCAGATCCAGTGATAATCTCAAAGAAAACACTCCAATGTCCCGTTCCCAAGTACATGCCGTGAGAGGAGGGAGTCCTGTCCCCTAATTACCAGCTCACCCTGCAGTGCCAGCCCAGCGAGATTCAGAGCCGGAACAGCTGGGTGTTAGATCCCAGAGCCCAGGCATTTCACACAAGCAAAGCCAGGTCAGGAAAAGAACAGACCCTGGGCCGGATAAGAACAGCCCCATTAGGAAAGGCCGAGCCTGCAAAATGATCAAGCCACACAGCACAGAGAAGCCACATTGAGAGCAACTGAGTAGTAAAGCCCCCCAGCACTTTCACTCCTCAGTCCTGCTATCCACCTATCTGACAAGTCACCGGGTGTTCCCAAGTCCGGGCTATCTCTGCAT